CCAATTCCTTTTCCATGAATCTTCCTACAACATATATAACATCATACTTATGCTTACCATATTATTTTCAACCAAAAATATCATAAGAATAATCTTCAAATATAGTCCACACACCTAGCACCTTAACCATTTTCGTCAACATCTTATTTTTCATGTTATTATCTTCAATCCACTGAATTAGCACATAGATAAGCTTGACAACAGTAGCTACAACATAATAAAACTATTTGTAACAATTTCCAACCACAAGAAACCATATATATATATAGCCTAGATACAACCCACAAAAAAGAATACGATTCCTTCTGCCATGTCAATTACTATCTTGTAGATTTTCACTCAAACAACTCAACCAACACATGATTGACCTTAAGAACAACCAAGAAAAAGATTTATTTAACTTATACAGTAGATACAACTTGAAATACCCAGCTGGTGTAGCTCACAACCACCCTCAATCACACCACAATACTATAGGAGTTGTATTCTCTTCTTGAATCAACTTTGTGTTCATGTTGGTATGTAAACACTTGTATTTTGCCTTGAAACTCTAATATACATGAAGTAGGCACTGATTATTAGCTTAATCATAAAGAACAACATGAAATTTGAGGTTACTTACCTTTGAAGAACCATCCAAAACAGCCAGAAGATGAAGAACTACGATCTAGCAAGCACCACGGGATTTCTAGCGTTAGATTCATGTTTTTATCTTATATTTTCACCCTAGAATCATGTAGGAACCCTTGGAGAGAATTTACAAGGGTTTAGGAACTGTTGTGGATGAGAAAAAAATGAGTTAAAACGACATATAAATGACTTAAATACATGCTGAAGTTCAAACCGACTTTGTGGGTCCCATGGGGCTGCTTGTGCAGTCTCGCAAAAATGCAAATATCTTTCTAGTCCAATGTCATATCGACAAATGGTTTAATGAGTTAGAAACTAGACTCATAGATCTTTAATTTGATATGTAGATCATCCCTTGATTCCAAGTATATTCGGATAAAAGTGCATCTACATATTACCTAAATTTCAGCATATTATGAATGCAACTTGTGATGACATTTGCCAACTTTTGTTCCACAACTCGCTTGACTTAATTAAAATAACACATGACTACCATACGACTTAAATAACTCATAAATTAACCCCCTCATCATGTTAATCACCATAGTCCCACCCCAAAAGTATATGTTATAATATTCCAAACTTGTCGACTTTTGACGAAACTTATTTTTTTCAATTCGTTTAGTGTCTAAGCTTTCCAACCCTTTTGGTACTTGTTATTTATGATCTTAAAGATTTGTAACCTCCAAGATAAAATAATGAAGTTACGTTATGTACTTTCAAAAATGATCTCATTTTTGAGCTTACATCGATTGGCTTACGACATACTCTCACGTACGAAAACATGAGATATAACAGATTGCTGAAAAGGCTCCAAGGTAGATGTGATGAGATGAGGATAACCTATCATAGCTGACAGCATTCTCAATAGGATATAAAACTGAATTAGTAGATGGCTTATGAGTAATATAGTTTGTCATCCACATGGGTTCTTGGATCCTCTCTGAGATCTTCTTAGAGGAACTGTAGTGTCAATGTTGTTTATGGGTAATAAAACCTGCTCAAGATTGTCAGTTGGAACTACTGACTCATATATTGTAGGAATGTTCTGTATATCCTCATTTGGGTCAGCTGATTCTGTAGATGCATGTATGTGTTGCAAAGTTTCATTCTCAAGAGTACCCCCTAAGGTTGAATTATCCTGTGAAACTTCATTGACAGGTGCTACTTCTGACCTTAAATACTGGATCAACTGCAAAGATATTTGCTGGAGGAGATTGCAGTATAGGTGAACATGCTGGCATTGAGCTCCCTAATGGTAATTGATCATTATCATTTACAAGGAAGGGATCCATTTTTTGATTTATCTTTTTACCCTGTAGTTGAAATGGGAAAATATCTTTCCTAAATGTGACATCTCTATTCACAAAGAACAGATGTTTCTCCAGGTCATATAGAATGTAACCTTTGGTTACACTAGAATACCACATAAACATTGCTTTAATTGCTCTGCTTGCAAACTTGTCTCCCCTTAGTAAGACATCAACAAAACATAGACATCCCAAAGTCTTCAAGTGCCTTATAGAAGGCTTTTTATGAAAGAACACCTCATAAGGGAATTTTCCTTCAAGAGCTACTGATGGTAATCTATTGATCACATAAGTTGCAGCTAGTATGCAGTGTCCCCAAAACTTAATAGGAATGTGACCTTGAAATTCGATTGACCTGGCAACTTTAAGGAGGTGCATGTGCTTTCTCTCTGCTACCCCATTTTGTTGGAGTGTGTAAGCACATGTTCTTTCATGTATGATTCCTAAGGACTTAAACAAGTCCTGCATTTCTGAGTTCACAAACTCCCCTCCATTATCAGACCTCACTACCTGAACCATTGCACTAAACTGAGTTGCATTCATTTTAAGGAAACTTTTAAGGACTATGATGACATCATATTTAAATTTCAGCAGAAAAATACATGTCACACGAGAATAGTCATCTACTATCGTTAAGAAGTACTTATTTCCATCAAAAGTTGGTGTATTATATGGTCCCCAAATATCCAAATGCAACAATTGAAACACCTTATTTGATCTATTAGTAATTGAAGGAAAAGGTAATTTGTGGTGTTTGGCTAATGGACATCTATGTATTACAGATTGACATATTTCTAAGTTGTAACCTAGAAGTTTTTTCATAGCTCCTCCTTAAAGCATGTGCCAACCTCTTGTGCCACACTATCACTTCTTTTTTATTTCTCTGTGTTGTTAGTCCTCTTGTGACTTCCCTTAGTTCTGCTCCAACTGCTTTATTTGTTTGTGATACCAGTAGATAAAGTCCATCTTTCTCTCTGCCAATCCCCTTCGCCTCCCCATTGAAGAGGTCCTCGAACAGACAAAAGGCACGGTAAAATGCAACTAGACATTTAAGATCCCTTGTCACCTTAGACACCGACATAAGGTTGTATTGGAAATTAGGTAGAAACAACACATCTTTGATTTCCCCTGTTCTTGTGACTCTGCAATTCTCCAATATGTGTCACATGTACTACTTCCCCATTTGGTAGATTAACCTTCTTAGTGTCTTTAGTGTTAAATGCTTTAACATTATTCAACAGACTTAGATCAGCAACCATATGATTGGTTCCTCCCGTGTCTATTATCCAGTGTGCCTTTGCTATCTCAACAAGCAATGAATAAGCATTACCTGCCATATTGGCTGTATTTTCCTGTTGTGGTTCTCGATTGATATTCAGACTCAGCATCTTCATGATCTGATCATACTGCTCTATATTCAATTGTGGTGCTCCGGCCATTTCTCCTTTGTTAAGTCCCTTAGGTTGACCAATGCCTCTTGTATTCTAGCAGTTACATTTGGGTGATTGTTTTTAGCACAAGCATTATACGCATTGTTTATCTTCTTCTTTCCTTTGAGACCTGCAGAATATCCAATAATTTTGTAGCATCCTTCCTTTGTATGACCTTTCATCTTACAATAGTCACACTACACATTCCAGTTCCTTTTTTGTCTCGGTACATATCACCTTTACTAGCCAAAAAAGGTGCAGAATCATTTGCATCCCCTGCTGTCATGATATTGGCCATTGATCTTTGTCTTTCTCTCTCAACCAGCATTGAATATTCCTTATTAATGCGTGGTGTAGGGATAGTCATCAGAATTTGGCTTCTAGCTTGTTTGTACGTTTCATTCATTCCCATCAAAAACTGTAAGACCTTCTGTTTTTGCATGAATTCAATGAAATTTTTAGGCTTGGTGCAATCACATGGAGGTGGAACCATGTTGTCAAACTCATCCCAAAGAGTACGAAGTTTGGAGAAATACACTGACACATTATCAGTTCCTTGAGTAATTGTAGCTATTGCCTTATGCAGCTGATACAGTCGTGAAGTGTTCACCTTATCAAATTGTTCTGTCAAATCTTCCCAAACAGCTCTAGCATTCTTCGCATACACAATCCCTGTATCAATTCCTTCGATACTGAGCTCATGATCTATCCTAAAACGATAACGTTATATCGGTCCCACTGATGACCTAGTTCTGCATCAAATCCCCTTTTTTAGAGTCCCATCGACTAACCCTAGCTTGTTCTTCCCAAGCAACTGGATTTCCATCGCTCGACTTCAAGTGATGTAATTGTCAGAACCAGTCAACTAGATCGATATTATCATAGCTCCTATTGTTTCTGAAAGATGGAGGAACAATGCATGAGTATGGTCCAAATCTATTTTTGCCGCCATTGTTGAAACTCAATTTTGTAACTCACCTATTAATTGAATCGTTGAACTAACAGAGTCTCCCAGAATCAATGTTGTGTAGTCGCAATCGTGATTAATTCCTCTGATACCATGTTGATTTTGGGGGTAACTGATGAACCTTAATCGACAGAGGAGATTGTGGAATTGAAAGTCTTAGAGACAGAAATATTGAAAGAGAGAAATGAAATGAAAATTTTCTCTTATATCTCTATACAGTGTATTCACTGTCGCGCCCCCTTTTTCCTTGCGGATCCGAGTTTCGACATTTTGGGGACAACTCCTTTTCTTTTGGGAATTGGGTATGAGATTTGAAGAGTCGCCACCTAATGGATTAAGGTGCGTTAGGGCACCTAGAACAATTAACTCATGAAACCAGTTTACATTACCAGAAATTGGGTAAGGGCTCAAAATTACCTTGAAGGGAAGGTGTTAGGCACCCCTCGAGGTCTATAATGGTGGGTCCCAACCAAACTCAATTTAAGCGAATTAGTCTTATAAGCAATCTAAACAAATAGATATTACTTTTAAAAACAAGGAGTAAAGGGGGTCCTAGGTTTTTTAACGTATAGGATCACTTCTGTGCAATACTTGGTAATCATCCCCAAATTGGGGTGCTACACATAGCATTAGCGCATAGATCATCATTTCCTTTGCAACCCAATTACCCTCGCTTTTTTTATTATTACCTAAGCGTTCTAATAACATCCAGTATGTACCCTATGCGTGCACTACTCATCCCTTACCTCTGACCATGGAAGTATTTAGGGCCTCTATTTAAGGCGGTTCTAGACTCACCTATGTTGTTTAAAAGGAGAAAATTAAGCTACAAACAAAAGCCAAGTAGGACTGTCGCACAAGAAACAATTAAGTGGGCTCATATTAACCTCCACAATTAGACAAACAAATGCACGTTGTTCAAGCAATTTTAAATGACTTTAGGATCCTATAAGCAGGATGTCTAAATGAGCACAAAAATAGAATATACAGCAGCCTTAAAGCGAGTGGATGAGTACCTATCAGTTGCCTGCTGATTTTTGTAGAGCACTTGAACCTATAAGCAGGTTATCTAAGTGACAATTGACAACAGAAAACTCAGAATTATTACTTACTCCTATATGTATGCTTTCTAATGTAGTTAGCAAAGCATTTATGCAGACTTCCAGTTTTTACATTTGGCACAAAGGGCAGTTATCCTATGAGCGTGAGTTCTACCTTTGGTGATTGCTTGTTTATTACCTCCTAAGGACATGCGTATTAGCTAAGCGATCGTGAAGCATTGATTAAGCCTATAGACATGATTTCTGAGCGAATGGATCTGAATTTGATTATTGCATTTCCTATAGACATGGTATCTATGTGCAGTAGTGTGAATCTTGATGGAATATTCAGAATTATTTTGATCCTATAGGCATGACATCTAATAAAATATGGATCAGAACATGTTGAACAAATTAAATCCTATAGGCATGCTTTCTAAATGCAGAAACTGATTTTAAAACCTTATGGGAATGATATCTAAATGCAGAAACTGATTTTTAAAATCCTACAGGCATGATTTCTATTAATCACAGGTGGGCAGAATTCTTAAGCACATCGCTAGGAAAATTGGTTAATCAAATAGACAGAACCCTATGGACATGGTCACTAGCGCACGTTGAGTTGAAAATACATGTAGATCCTATAAGCAGGATTTCTAAGATGCAAAGTATGAAAAATTCAGCATAATGAGATAAACCTATAGTATGGTTTCTAATGCATATAAATATCATCACAATCACCTATGGTCATGGTTTCTACCCGAACCCCAACAAAGATATAAAAATCCTTTCCCAGTTTTTTACTAAGTACCCTCATATATGTTTTACAAAGATGGTTGTTACAGGTCAACACAAATGAGTTACCTAATGAAAATTACTACACTATAGGGAGCCTTGGCAGGTCCAAAATCAACCTGGAAGCCAAGCTTTCAATCAGATCTAGAGTACACCAAATGGGCTTCTGGTGTGTTAAATTTCGCAAGGGTCTCAGGGACCCCGGGCAATGCTCACACCAGAACTTTTTCAAAGAAATAGTTTTTGTAAACAAGTTTGGAAAAGCCAGCCCCAGCGTGTCAGAGTTCGGAGGAGTCTCATAGACTCCTAGGTAGTGCTCACACTGGAAGGGAAGGACCTTAGATATCTAAGAGTAGGAGTTGAAAATATTATATAAAAGTAGGAGGTAGGTTTAGGAAAAAACAATTTGGATTTTTAGAAGTGAATAGAAACAGGTCACAAGATCAAAAACTACAAACAGAACCACATTTAACAGATTGAGTCCAGACATAAATTCCAGTAGTTACAATTACCAGGAACACTGGAATCATAGACAAAACAGAGTCACAATGAAGTCAAACAAGGCTTCACATGGTTGGAATTGATTTAGTTCGTTAACTATTACTAGGTGAGCATATAGACATGTATTAAACAGAGAAACGTGCTGAAATCAAAATGACTAATCAAACTAGCATACAGAACAGGGTGGGGCAGTGGGAATTATACATGCTAGTTTCAGAATGAGTAAACCATTATCATGGGCAAAACAAGGACATGCAATCATATAGACCAGGACAAGACTTAAGTCATGCTGGTTAAGAGAAACATAGGGCAGAATAGAAGCATGTTGGAACACTAACCACACAACCACATGGGACAAAGAGGTAACAAGACTAGAGCATACTGGTTAAAATAAACAAGAGTCATATAATAAACATGCACATGTTGAGGTTTAGAGTGAACTAATCATGTAAGTCATAGAGAATAAGAACTGAAGCATAGTAGTTGAGAAGGAGATGGCTAGGAGACAAGTATCAAAGTAGAAGTATATTGGGACACATAGCACATAGAATAGATTATGATAAAAAAAATAGGGGCATACCAGTTATGAGATAGCAAACAGGAAGGTGAAGGCAAGTTGAATCCAATAGTCTAGCCTTGACTTTCAGTCACCTAGACAATACAGCAAACACAAGTAACAGAAAGAATTACAATGGAGAGTGTGTGTGAATAAGAGTTTGTTTGTGTGTGTGTATGTTTCTGTATCTTTCTAAGTGTGTTCGTGTCTTTGAAAGAAATCAGAATGGGGTTTATATAGCACTTAGCAGAGTAAAGCAAATAAGGCAAAGAATAATAGAGTTCACAAATGAGGTATACAAATAAAATCAGCCAGTTGATTGGGGCTGCTAAACTCAATCAATTAACATAGAAAAATCCGGGAAAGACCCCAAAAATAGGGAGAATCAATTAACAGCCCAGATTGGGGTTTAAACAAGGCAAGAAATAAGTCATAGGCCATTTATAAGTTGGTCAGAACAAATCAAACCCAGAAATTAGGCTAATAAACTAATTAAGGCAAGTAGTACTAATTAGGAGTCACAAATAAGAAAAATAGGTAAAAATCACATAAAGTAACAATCTCAGCAGAATAATATAATTTCGAACCCTAAATAGTCAAATAACATCAATTAATCTCTGTTAATTGACATACAAGGAATAGCGGGCAAATACCAGAACAACTAATGAAGTAGTCAGAAACCCTAGGGTTTAGAACATAGATAGTCAAGCAAACGAAGAGTAACGGAATCAAACACTCAAACTTCTTTAGAAAAGTTTTGCAGAAACGCAAAGAAGTGAAACCCTAGTTTTAGAGAAACATTAAAATCGATTAGTAATAAGCAAAAACGGAAGGTTTTATTAAAGAAAATACCAAATAATCTTATAATCATTTCAGATCTACAAGGATCTGAACAGACTCAAGTAGAAAGAGATGAGGGTTTTGAAGAAAGGAACGAGGTGAGAAAAATCCAGTTAAGAACCGGAGTTTCAAGCCATAAACATAAAGATAACAATACTCACAAACATAGCGATGAACACAGAGTAGGTTCAATGGAAAAAAAATAAGAGGCTAGGTCAACTCTGAGTTGAATCTCTTTGAAATTCCTTCAAACCACGAGAAGTGACTAGGGTTAGGGGGTAGTTTGTGTTAAATAAAAAAGAAATGATCCTGGACCGTTGATCTTTTGAGATCAACAGCCAGGATTTGATTTGAGGGGGGTTTGACGGGTTAGGAATTGGGTCAGGGTATTTGGGCTAGGTCCAAAATTAAACAAAATTAAAAAGGCTATTTGTTAAATACCCAATTAATTGATCAAATAATTTGTTAAAATAGTTAATTAAATGATAAAAATAATTTTACGCATGAAAATAATTTTAAATTATTACTTAATATTATAAAAATACAAAAAGGTTATTTTCTTATGAAATAAGGTAATTATGCACACATGAGCCATTATTGCAAATTTATTACAATTACAACCCTAACATGTACATATGGATATTCATGGAATAATTAAAGCTTAGTATAAATATAAATAATAAAATTAAGCAATAAAAGTATCATAAAACTGTTTTTGATGCAATTAGTAATTATTTGGATAATAAAATGCTAGATTAAATTAATTAAAATCCTTTTAAAATTATAGAAAATCATGGAAAAATGTTGGTTGATGCTCATGCACTATTTTGAAAGTATATATGTATTTTAAAATATATGAGGGAAAAATTGGGTATCAACAACTGCCCCTCTTTACCCGGAAATGATGAAAGTGTTTTCGGATAAAGAAATGATGACCGATTTTGGCCGAATTAGATGTTTTGAAACATATAGGCCATACCCCGGTCTTTGTGCTGCCTAAATATCCATGGTTTTACAGGAATCAGGCCATGTGTTGCTCTGGACCCAACGGTGAATGAGGCCGATAGAATTCTTATAGGAATGGTAACAAGTTTCAAAAAATGTTCTTTTGTGAAGGGTTGTATCAA